TTTTACTTTCTCACACCAGGTAGACAATGCAATGATTATACCTGTGAACCTTTTTTATTTCACATAAAGAATATGGTTTTAAGTTCATCCATTTACCTAGAAATGCCTAAAAACTTATTCTTTTTTAATACCCTGTAGTACACCAGGTATTTTGGTCACAATGACATATATATATAATCTTTATCCATTTCTTGATTGATGGGCATCTGAGTTGTTTCCAAGATTTAGCTATTATAAACCGTTCTGCTATCTATCAACATGGGTGCGTATATATTTCTGAGATATGCTGTTTTTAATTCTTCTAGGAAGATACCCAGAAGGGGAATAACTGGATCAAATGGAATTTTTAATCCTAGTGTTTTGATGAATTCCTTCACCGATTTTCACAGTGATTGCACCAGTCTATACTCCCACCAACAGTAGAGAAGTGTTCCTTTTTCCCTACAGCCCCTCCCACATTTGTTATTGGTTGGTTTCTTGACAATAACCATTTTTCTGGAGTGAGATGGAATCTGTGTTGTTGTAATTTTCATTTCTTGAATGACCAGCAATCCTGAATATTTATTAATATATTTATTTGGCCTTTGTATTTCTTCATCTGAAAGGTGTGTGTTCTCAGATGCCCATTTTTGGATTGAATTTGGGGGGGGGTCTGATTTTTTCAATTCTTTATATGCTCTAGATAGAATTCCTTTGTCTGAGGGACAGTTGGCTAAAATTTTTTCCCACATTGTGGGTTTTCTTTTCACTCTGTTAGTGATTTCTTTTGTTGTGCAAATTCTTTTTAATAAAATGAGGTCCCAGTTATTGATTCTTTGTATTATTTCCTGTGTGATTAAGGTTTTGTTCACGAAATCTTCCTTAAGAGTTCTGTCTATTCTCTCATCCAGAAGATTTAGTGTTTCTGTGTTAATATTTAGGTCTTTGATCCATGTATCTTACATTATATTTTTATTGGTCAATAATCATCCAAAGTTTAGGGACAGAATTAGGTATGCAGACAGTCGACTAATATTTGATTAGTCTGTGCATCATTGTTTTGTATTAAATAACTATATCTTTCAAAATACACCCTTTTGACAAATGCAGACAGTTATTATATTAATAGGTTGGAGTTGTTATATTAAAATTCCATATTCTGTTTTGCATTTACTGAGTTATTTTTTGACATTTTGTCTTTTTTTTTTTTTTTTTTGTCTTTTTCATTTTTATCGGTACCAGGGATTGAACTCACGACTGCCTGCTTGCAAGGCAGGCGCTTATGCCGCTGAGCTAAATCCCCAGCCCCCTATTTTTTGACATTTTTCTTCTGCAAATCGGTGGCTTTAAACACTGAAGTTAAGCTCTTTGAATAGATGCTCAGAGAGACATTATGCAGTTGAGAATGAGAACAACTTCTCAAAGACTAAGAAATCAGATCACTGAAATTAACTTTGGTAAATGACAATTAACCACAAATTGTTGGTAGGCCAACTGTGCTGTCAAATTTAATGAAAAATCAGATGCTCTCTGCTTCCTGAATTTTCCTGCTCTCTTAGCATTTTTAACCTGAAGGACTCCGGGAAGGAAAGGATAGGAACATAGGAAAGGTGGATTCCAGGGACCATTTGGTATTCCAAAACATTCCTTAAGCATGGAAGAACTGTGTCTGGTGGCTTTCACACTGGAAGAACTGGAGCCAAACAATAACTTCTCTATGACTGAGTTACTCTTTTGGCCAACTGGCCTTTGAGCAGACAATTTCTTATTCAAGGAAATATCTGGGTTGGCTCTAGTGTGAGTTTGTGTGGAAATGGGAAGAGGCTTGAATTTGGTCATCTGAATTGTTCCAGAATGTCCTAAGATGTTTCCTCACAGTTCTCAATATTTTACATCTGTTATCACATCACTGAAAACTCAAAGCGTTCTTTGAGTTAGATGTTACTTTTAACCTAATTTGAAAGGTGAGGAAATTGACATATAGAGGCCTTAAGTAAGTTGCCTATAATCACATAGCTAATAAGTAGAGAACATATAGTCAACAACTTTGATTGTCTCAGTGTTTGACAATCTGGATTAGTTCACGCCAGAGGAACAGATCTACTTGACTGGGGCTGGCCTGCATCTGCAGATTATTCCTTAAACTTTCCTTGCACTTGGAGACACAGATTATCTGAACTTCAGTCTTCTGTGGCCCAAGAGTGAGTGTCAAAGCATTGATAATAAGACAGGAGAGGAATACGTCCAGTGGGAGGGACACTCCTAATGCAGTGACACTATCGTTGCTGTACCCAGAACCAAGCAGAAAAGTGCTATTTGGGACCAAACAAAACCTTGCTATTTTCAGATTTGGTGATGTTTGCGGGTCCAATCAGAAGACGCTCTTTTCAATCCTTCATTTGCATATGGACATAATTAGAAGACACTAATTTTGATCCTTCATTTACATGTAACAGGAAGTCAAATGAATTTTTTTCTGACAGGACAGTTTACAGAAGGCATGATGTCAGGTGAGTGCTTGAGAGGCCCACTGTATCAATGCTTTATCTACATTAAAGAAAGTCTGGGAATTTAGGATACAAAAGACCCCTTTCCCTTATTCTTGGGAAGCTCCTACTGTAAGCCTTTTCCTCCCCTTACTTGGCTCATTGTCTGTAGTGTGCTTCTTTTCTACCTTCAGTAAATGTACACTTCTGCTGCCTTTTCAATGTCTTGTCCAATTCTTTGTTCAACACAGCAAAAACCTGGAAAGAATCCCCATAGAACCTTCCACCTGGCAAGAATAATGCATTTGATAATAACTAAAACAAGTTATTAACTACAGCATGTCATTTAAATATTTCAACATAGAACACTCATTGGTTTGTATTTTAAGAAGTATTAGTAATGTTTATTATGGATTTTGTGTTTGTGCCTTTGAGTACCTTCTGGTTTCTGAAGACATGAAAACATGGCAATATTACATATACTTTGTGATCTTTATTTTCCTCTGAATTCTAGAGAGCCCTCTAGTGTTTGTATGGCCTTGGAGATCAGTTTGGGTCTACATATATCAGCTGGAGGTAGAGGCCAGAAAACACACAGGGGAAAGCAAGAACTTGAACAAATTTGGAGACTGTAGAATTAGATTACCTGTGTTTCATTTTGAGTCATAAGTGTGGTAGGTAGTAGGGGTAGCTAAGTCACCTGGACTTGGAATAAGTTATACACAAATACTCCTAATTTTTCTTTAGGAATAACCTGGTTGATCTCTTGGGCCAATTTGGAGGAGTGGGGGATAACCAAGGAAATATACTTTTTCTTATGTCCTCATGAAAGTAGGGGGAAATACCAATTAAACATCCCTGGGACCTTCATGGCCAAAGATGATGACATCAGGGAAAAATCAAGTCTCTATCAAGGACATGATTAATTCGTGAAATGGAATTTGTCTTCAAATTCTAAATTTGACATAGGCTCATGCAATGTTACAGTAGTATAGGTTTATTGGAGGCTAATTTAATTTTTTCTTAAGAGGAAACTGAAGCCCAGAAATAAATGTGTATTAGATTCAAAGATGTGGTGTCCAGACTATCATTCTTTTGGCTTTTCACTGCAAATGAATTGATCTCTTTACTTAGTATGAACTAAGCTTCAAGATTCTTTTAGTGTGAATTTCAGGTTGTTTCTACAGAAGAGATTATTATCAATATTGCATCCAATATATTCATAACATGAGAGTTATGATCAAGTGATAAAGATATTAATTTAATAATGATCTCTTACTATGCATTATGTAATTGCAGACAGGACCCTCATTCAAGGACTCCCATCCCCTTTGTCTATCTATACAAAAGCAAGTGAGATTCTTTTCTCATCTGCTCACTAGTTGGTACAAACCACATAGTAACTAAAAACTGGACAATGGGGGCTGGAGATTTAGCTCAGCGGCGTAAGCGCCTGCCATCCAAGCAGGCAGTCATGAGTTCAATCCCTGAATAAAAAGGAAAAAGACAAAAAAACCTCCCAAAAAACCAAAAAACTGGACAATGATAACTAGAAGTTCATATACACATACATAAAAATGACACACGTATTTTGTTTAGACTGATTATATACTTAGGATATTTATCAGCACATAGTGAAGCAGAGACCTCCAAACACAGCTATAATCAATTGGTGAAATTTCAGAAAGAGTTACTAAATGTTTTCTGAGCAATCTACTACTTTAACTTCATGTATAACAAAATTATAAAGACATGTTGGGACATGTTCAATTACAATTAAGACATGTTCTTAACTGTATACTGTGTGGTTACACTGGTAGGTAAAACATCATTGAACTGTATACTTTAGATTTGTGCCTTATACTGTCTATAAATTGTACCTCGAGAATAAAAATATAATAAAAAGCTAATCTCAAAAGACTAAAAACAAACAAAAGCCTAGATATGCCATTAAACTTTTAATAATTATAATTTCTGACGTGCTACAGTTTCTTAATTACTGATTGATACTTAACCAATGGTAGCACGAAATATTTTTTTCTCGTGTTAATCTTTAGGTAATCCAAATTACTTAAGAGGATCCAGTGATATTTTTATAATGCAAGAAGGTCTTTCTTTTAAATGTTTTCAGTAAGATGGTGTAATAACTTTGTCTAGAATTTTGTGCAACATGAAACGTGTGTGTGTGTGAGTGTGTGTGTGTGTATGTGTGCGTGTGCATACTGAAAAGTTTCTTTCACTTCTCATTCCTCCGCGGCCTGATATTTTAAATAGTGTACTCAGGAAACGGTATCATGATAGCAAAAGGTTTCTGAACTAAATAACCTCTTCCTAAGGTGCTAATGAGTCTCTTCCTCTCACAGATTCTCGAAATTCATCTTCCCCTCCAGGATGCCGCTAGAGGGAAGTTATAAATTGGATACACTGTAAAAACTATTTACTTTTACGTTTTTACCACTCTGAGCTATAAAATTCCATTCTGTGACGTTTTGTTTCCTTTCCAGAAAAGACCAACTACGGGGCTAATTTGGATACCGAAGCGAGTCTGAGAACTACAGCTTTCAAAAGCTAGACGCCAGAAAAAGGCGAGGACTGCAACTCCCATAATGCAGCGCTTCACCATCTCTCAGGGCCGCACCTTCCACATGCCCAATGAGCAGGGGTCGCTTGTCACTTCTCTTCTCCATTGGTCAGTCTTCCTCTGCGCAGGGCGCAGTAGGGAGGAGAGAAACAGAGGCCTCCGGATGGCACATTTCCCGCCAGCCCCAGAAACCCGGAAGAAAGTTGGAAAAACTAATTCCTCCATTGGACACTCACTACTCTGGCGTCAGAATGTTTAGCCAATAGAATTACGAATCTGCTCACGGACTCCCCGCCTCTTCCTCTTGGTCCGCTCTGGTGGCGGGAAAAATTGGGAAGTTTTTCGCGCGGAGCTAAAGGTACCCTTCTGAGCAGTAGGCATGGCGGGCACCGTGGTGCTGGACGACGTGGAGCTGCGGGAGGCTCAGAGAGATTACCTAGACTTCTTGGATGATGAGGTGAGGGGACGCCTGGAGGCGGGCTTGGGTGCGTTGTGAGCCGCGGATGGTCTGCAGCCTGCAGAGGGAGGCCGCTCGGACTCCTCTTTCAGTCCTGCTGCCAGGGCGGGCGTCCTGCAGCGGAGCCTCCCGCCCACTCTGGCGACTCGCCTCATCTCGCAATGGGGAGAGTCACTCTTGTGTGTTCCACGGGTGAACTCCTTGCCACTTGATCCCAATTACGAGTGGTGGCGGTGGCGCCTAGGGCGACAGACCTCTGCCAACAAAAGGGCACAGCCCGCCTCGTCCTTCTGCTCCGCCGGCCATGTCTGAACTCCGGCGGGGTGGGACGGACTGCGGTGCGTTTGTCGCTGTGGGCCACCCTGTAGAGTGCTTTGCAAACTTGCCTTGACTGACGGACTGGTGGAGGACGACGACTTGCTAACTGGGTTGTTTTTTTCTTATGCCAGATGAGATGTAAACTACAAAATGTTAATAAAGCATCTTGAAAACTTGATTATAAGTAAAAAGCAATTTGTATCTGAATTATAAATTTGCTTAAGTTACATTTTTTATCGTATATATTTGTGTATAACAGTGTTTTGGAATATAATAAAATGATACTACAGTCAAGGAAATTAACCTATTCCTTTATTTTTATAGTACTCGGAATCGAACTCAGGAGCTCATGCTTGCCATGCAGGTGCTGTGCTGCTGAACCTATGTTAAGTTTACATTTTAACAAAGTTTTTATGTATAGTCTTTATAGGCTTCTTATAAACCCATTTTAATTTCCGCTGGATGTTGAGAAATAACAGTGTACAGAGAGCTGTTGAAGATAATAGGAATAAGAACATGGACCCTGAGGCAGTCATTATAATTCTTTACAGCCCCCTGAGGGGGTAGAGTCAGGCTGGTGATGAAAAAATTGATGAGCACCTACTTGGGATTCAGCTCTGCTGCAGAGATTGACTTACCTTGGTGACATACCTGATTTGCTATGTGAGCTGCTTCTATTCAGTAACATCAGGGTTTTAAATTTGTGGCTTGTGACACATGATGATTGTTTTGCAGGAAGACCAGGGAATTTATCAGAGCAAAGTTCGAGACATGATTAGTGATAGTCAATACCGGCTGATTGTCAGTGTGAATGACTTACGCAGAAAAAATGAAAAGAGAGCAAACCTGTGAGTAATAAGGGTTTTGTGGGGTGGTGATGGGGGGTCACAAACATCCTGGCTTTTAAGTGAGAATGGCTTCAACCAACTCCCCTTTGCTCAGATTGGAATGGGCTTCCCAGGGAAGGACATGAAAGGCAGAGGATTTACCTAGAAACCCTTGTTGCCTCACCTGCACTTGTATCTGTATTTTTTTTAATTCTAAAAAAAATGAGCATTTCCCTGTGAAGTGTGTCATTCCTGCCAGTGTATTTTTCCATCTTTGTTAAGTTGACCAGAAGTTTGTCCTTTGTTATTATGTAGTCTTACAGGGTTGCAGGAGAAAGGAGGAGTTGAATTTTCTTTCCTTGACTGTAGTGATCTAAGAATGTCCACTTCTGTTTTGTGGATTTTTTTTTTTTTTTTGAGTTCTGCCTCTTCTACATAATCCTTTCTTTTGTCCTTTCACAGCCTTCTGAGCAATGCATTTGAGGAGCTGGTTGCCTTCCAACGGGCCTTAAAAGAGTTTGTGGCCTCCATTGATGCTACCTATGCCAAGCAATATGAAGAGTTCTATATAGGATTGGAGGGCAGCTTTGGCTCCAAGCATGTGTCTCCCCGGACTCTTACTTCCTGCTTCCTCAGCTGTGTGGTCTGTGTGGAGGGCATTGTCACTAAATGTGAGTGGATGAGGTCACTAAGAAAACGAAACTAGAGGAGGCTTAAAGAGGCTGGGAAAGCAGGGAGGTGGAGTAGTCTGCATAGCTTGTGGCAAGGATCAGAAAGGGAGAGCACTGAAATTGTGTCGTGAAACTTGGAGGAGCTCAGATGTGCACAGTGGTTAGGGAGACTTTGAGGGAGTGCTGTGATCTGGCAGAATAATGAATTTGGATGACAGCTGTAGAAGTGTGGGCTTCTGACAGTTTCTTTCCAACCGGAATACCTCTTGTTACTTAGAGTCAGGAATACTTAATTTTTATGGGAGTTGAGGTGTTCTGTGTATATAAATATGAGAATGAATGAATGACGGGGAGTAGGAATGATGGGGAGTTGGGAAACAGTATTGAAATCATCACTGGCTTGCATGGGTTTAGAGGCTACCTCTGTCACTGTGTAGTTGGATGATTTTATATGTACATTTCCCATTTCTAGGCTCTCTAGTTCGTCCCAAAGTTGTTCGCAGTGTCCACTACTGCCCTGCTACCAAGAAGACTATAGAGCGACGTTATTCTGATCTCACTAACCTGGTGGCTTTTCCATCCAGTTCTGTTTATCCTACCAAGGTAAGGGCCGGGGAATTAGTTTGCTCTCCTTGGGGGTTGGAGTCAAGGTACTTGTTGTGTTCTGTGTATTTCCCCTCCCCCAGTAGTGCCTAAACCTAGGTTTAGGCAAATGCTTTGCCCCTGAGCTATGTCCTCCAGTCCCAAGATTTAATGAAAGTAATTCTGTTAAAAGCTGTAATCTTTCTTCTGAAGTATGTAGTACACACAGTAAGGATTAATTCAAAGGGCAGATTGATTATAAGCTCAAGTTTAATGAGAAAACTCAGTAATGCTTTTTTGTTTTAAGAGAATAAACCAGATGTGGTGGTGCTGCCCACCCAGTACTTTTAAGCTGAAGCAGGAGAATCACCTTGAGTTTAAGGCCAGCCTGGGCTATTTAGAGAATTCAAGGCCAGCCTGAACCACATAGTGAGATTCTGTCTCAAAAAACCAAACAAAAAAGAATATTTACTTTGGGAAATACGAAATATTATAGGAAGACAGTCATCTATATAGAATTTTTAGCTAAGTTAAAATCAAATATAACTTATCATTTGCTTTTTAAAAGTAAAGTGGGAAATGAACTATATTGTGTAATCTTTGCAAATGTTTCATTGGACTTGGGAGAAAGGCTGCCATAGAAAGGGCCTTAGACTACTTAGATCGATCTGAATTGAGGACAAAGCTTTCTTAATGAGACAAAAGATCATTAAAATTGATTACTTGATGTCTGAACTCATCCTCTATGCAAATTTTAATTGAGTTTTAGTGTATCCATAGTACAGAACTCTTAGGGACTATGGAAATCAGATACAAGGAAGAAGCAGTTGACAAGATTGTCTTCAAGCGGAAATCAAACTTACAAAGAATTAAAGCAAGACTATCTTACATTATAACTGAAATACACTTCGTTTTCTGTTAGTCTACCTCCAGGAAAAATGAGAGGTTAAGTAACTCGTGTATGGTTGCAGTGAGTGATGACTCTTAACTGAAACGCATGTGTCTTTTGTTGAAGCCAGTTACATTTTTTGTCACCCTGTCTTCTTCATTAAGATTCCTGATTTTACAGTTTCTTCTTCAGGGAGTGTTCTTTTGCTGATTTCTCAAACTTTGCTTGAGAGCAGATACTCTGGGCCGTGTCTCCTGGAAATAATCTGCCTTAGTGCTTAAGATCATGGGCTTTGAAGTTTCACTTGCATTGAGTCCTGGCACTGTTGCTCACTGTCTGACTGGGAGATTTAATTTAACCTCTCCCAGTGTGCCCATAAAATGTGGGAAATACCTGCTTTACAAGATTTCTGTAATTATGTGAGATAATTTCCTAAAATAATCACAGATCCTGGGACATAGCAAGTATTTAGTAAATGATAGCTATTTTGTTTTTAAAACTTCAAATATCAAAGAAATGAAATTACTTTCAGAATTTAAGATACATGTAGTCTACTGTTTGGTAGTATGTAATGTGATGAATTGTAAGCTGAGTGTGTGTAGCCAGCAGTCAAGCCAGGAAATGGGAATTTACTGACAGTCAGAAGGCAAAGTGCCATGCTATCGTGATGGGTAAGAGTATAGATTGTTGCATAGTATTAATTTATGTGGTTATATCACATTTATTTAGCCATTCTACTATTGACATGGATGCTTTTGGATTTCTGTTTACAGTAAATCTCAACTTACAAATGAATTTCATTTTGGGAGAAAGCTTGTAAGTTGGATCCATTTGTAAGTCCAACAAAATGAATCTTAAACACCTTTGACACAGATACACGACGTAAAACAAAAACCCAAACGTCCACATCGTCACTGTATTAGGAATAGTGCTGTAATAGTGCTATTACAGTGAATGGCTTTGAGTGAAGACGTATATTGGATATTACCAAGGAGTGGGAGAACTGTCAAGAGTGTAAACCATGTACTCACCTTTAGTAGAGGGGGTAGGAATGCTTATTTATTTATTTATTTTAATTGGAGATCAAACTCACATTCTCACACAAGTAGTTGCTTGTGCCACTGAGCTAAATCCCCAGCCTAAGGAATGCTGATTTAAATGTCAAGACAGCTGTGGTTTCATCTGAGCACACATTATCCCTGCCATTAGAGAGTTATTGGGCCAGAGATAGGAATGGAAGAAGCTGGGGAGCTACTTGGCTCTTTTGTAATTTCTAGATACTAAAATTTCATGAAGTCATCACTGAATTATGTTTTCCTATACCCAATGAGTATGACAGTTTTGAGATGAGAGTAACTCTTTTTCTCTATGCCATTTTCTAGGATGAGGAGAACAACCCTCTAGAGACAGAATACGGCCTTTCTGTCTATAAGGACCACCAGATCATCACCATCCAGGAGATGCCTGAGAAGGCCCCAGCTGGCCAGCTGCCCCGCTCTGTGGATGTCATTCTGGATGATGACTTGGTGGATAAAGTGAAGCCTGGTGACCGAGTCCAGGTGGTGGGGACCTACCGCTGCCTTCCTGGAAAGAAAGGAGGCTACACCTCAGGGACCTTCAGGTAGAAGGGCTACCATGAAGCCTTTGCAGTACTGGTAGCAGCGTCTGTGTCTGGTGTTATCCTTTCTCCAGTTTGCCTCATTCCAAAGAGCTCTAGCCAACAGGTGGAGCACACTTCCTGTGAGTTGGGATGGCTTCCACCTCTCGCCTGTCAGATACAGTTGTGACATTTAAACCATCTTAGGTCAACATTGGTGATACGATTATAGCCTTCTGGCTTACCTGGGACTTTCTTACTTGTTCCCAGATCTTTTCCATTTGTATTTCTGTCTGAATCTGTGAGTCAGCAGAGGATAAATAAATTTCAGAGATGGGGTCATCAGCCTATTTGGGTTATGGACAGAGGCTCAATTACTGAGTTCAGAACAACTTTTTCTTCCCCGAATTCAGTTGTCATGTTAATTAGCCTAAATGTCTTCCTGCTACTGGTAGCAGTAACTACAGATTTGGGGAACTGAATATTTATAGCAGGCTTCCTCTTGCTCTCCTCTTTGTCCCAGGACTGTCCTGATTGCCTGCAATGTAAAGCAAATGAGCAAGGACATTCAGCCTTCATTTTCTGCTGAGGATATCGCCAAGATCAAGAAGTTCAGTAAAACTCGTTCCAAGGTGTGTGCATCTTTCAGGAATTTGAGCGTGGGAATGGATTTGCAGAGTTTTGTTTGAGTGTGTGGCTGTCTTTGTTCTGAATTGGGAGGAAGGTGAGGGTTTTTTCCCCTTCTGAAATATTTGTTACTAGCTTCTTTCAGTTTTGTTCTCATCAGCAAATGAAAGAATTTTCTTGTTGTTTGGCCTGTAATATTTCTGTCTGGTTACCTGCTGGACTCCTAGCTGAACCTAATGCAAATGTTAGGATAGGAATTAGGTTGTCAATGTTACCATGGAGTCTGCTTTATTATTAAAGATATCAATGGTGCATTGTTACTTAAATTTAAAATGTTATGTTACTTTTCAGTTCTCCAACTGTTACTTTTTTCTTCCTTTTTAAAGGCAAACTGTCTACATTTAGAATTGAACAAAATATAGGAATGTGTTGTAAAGATTACTATTAAAATGCAGTGCACATTCTTATTGAGCCTAAAAGGTTTTTAGCTTGGGAATGCTTCTTTTTTTCTTGAAGATGAAGCTTCTAAACAAACTGGCATCTAAGCTACCTCTGTACCTGCTCTGACAGTGGTTTGCTAAGGTGATTTGTCTTATAGAAGAGGCTTTTGTAATTAAAATAGTGTTTAAATCTGTATATTTCTTTAAGCATTTTCTGAAAGCAAAAATCTAAAGGGGAGCTCTGGGAAACCACGTTGGTGCTTACGAAGCATCTCACTCCGTGGGTTCTTTCTCCTCCAGGATATCTTTGACCAGCTGGCTAGATCATTGGCCCCTAGTATCCATGGGCATGACTACGTCAAGAAGGCCATCCTCTGCTTGCTGCTGGGAGGGGTGGAACGAGACCTGGAGAATGGCAGCCATATCCGTGGGGACATCAATATTCTTCTGATAGGTATGGTCTTGGGGATTTACTTCAGACTCGCTCATAACAATGAAGAGTGGGGTTGTGAGGATCTGTAATATGTAAATTGTATATTATGTTCCTGGTAGTGTTTTAGTCCCATCAGAGAGCAAAAGGCTCAAATGAAACTTTTGAAAGATCAGCCGTCTCTGTTATGCCAGGACCTGTGCTGTACAGGCAGAACTTGCTAGGGTGGAGAGAATTCCCAGAGAATCCTTGATTGTTCCTGTCCCGCAGGAGATCCATCAGTTGCCAAGTCTCAGCTTCTGCGGTATGTGCTTTGCACAGCACCGTGCGCTATCCCCACCACTGGCCGGGGCTCCTCTGGAGTGGGTCTGACAGCTGCTGTCACCACAGACCAGGAAACAGGTAAGGCTGTGTGAGTCCTCGGCAAAGGCCCAGCATGTCACCAAGTGGATGCTTTGAGTTTGTTTTAGGTACTGGCTTGTGTTCTGGGGATACAGCTGAAAGGGTAGTTAGGCTAGATTATACAGGAGTGAGTACCTATAATGGTGGGTGAATTATTCTAGACTTTGCATGACACTGACAATATTTCCTAGAAAGTAACTTGGAAGACTTTCAAAAGAGGAAGCGTAGCAGTTTGGAAGGGCAATAAAAATGAAGATTGGACTGTTATGAACTAGAGGAAGGATTTTAAAGACCAATGAAAAGAGAAGTTACTTAAATATCTTGAGGTTGGGGATGGAGAGAGACTTTATAAAGTTTGTGAGGGGCTAGCTTGGGGGTCAAAGTGAGACAAAAAGATACTGTTCAGGTTGGAACTAAAAAGGTAACCCATCAAGTTTCCTGTAAGCCTTGAGAAAGCCTGTAAGAAATTCTTTACCGTATTCTCTTACTACAGTGAGATATATCTAGAAAGGAAATTGGAATCTCTACTCCCTGTACCATGTACAATTTTTTTTTTTTTTGATCTCTTTTCTTTCCAGGGGAGCGTCGTCTTGAAGCAGGGGCCATGGTTCTGGCTGACAGAGGTGTGGTTTGCATCGATGAATTTGACAAGATGTCTGATATGGACCGCACAGCCATCCATGAGGTCATGGAGCAGGGACGAGTGACCATTGCCAAGGCTGGCATCCATGCTCGGCTGAATGCCCGCTGTAGTGTTTTGGCAGCTGCCAACCCTGTGTATGGCAGGGTGAGTGGAAATCACCCCTAACTCTTGCCCTCGTCTTCATTTGACTTTGCTGAGTAACTGGACTGAGTTTTCTCTAGGGGAAAAATAGGCTCAAGAGTAAGAGAAATTCGTTACCTTGTTGTCTTTAGTTTGGAGCAGTGGTTCCTGACACATTCTTATACCGCACACTCCTCTTGAAAGCTAAAATTTATAAATAACTTTTTTAGAAATATAAAAACAAGAAGTACACAAAATGTTCCATGGTCTCAGAATCCAATGAAGTTCTATTGTCATTAAATTCAAAGTACTACATGCACAGAACAGCAGAATTTCTGAACAAAACCAAGATACAATATACAAATTGAAAGCCTTGTTTCTGTCCTGTCCCTTTTCTAAGAGATAACCATTAACAGTTTGGAGATGAAAAGAAACAATTTAAGCATGTGCTGTACCAGCAAGTACACTAGGTCCTTGTTCAGAATTACCTTTTTGTTTTTAACATCACTGTGATATGCCTAGATATCTTCTATTTAGTCTCCTTGGAGTTGTTTTAAATAGTTTTCCAGTACTTTGTTATATAAAGCAATGGTGGAGAACCTTTTATTTTTATTTTTATTTATTTGTTTTTGACACAGGGTCTTGCTATGCATTTCACTATGTAGCCAGGCTGGCCTTGAACTTGCCATGGACCTGCTGCCTCAATCTGAGTGATAGGATTTGCCATTTTGTACAGCTGTGGTAAACCTTTTAGAGACCAGGTGCTCAAGCTGCTAGTGATGCCATCGCCAGGCACTGCTGCTAATTTCTGAGCATGTACATGGTCCCTGTGTGTGCTGTTATCTGATGCTTGGCTGCTGAGACAGTGCTGGTGACATGTCCACTGTGGCACATACGTGGTAGGTTTGCTACCACCGGTGTAGACCTATAGTAGCTTATTTAACTATTCTCCCTTCAGTGGGCGTTTGTCCCTATCACCTCATCGCCAACTGGGCTATTATGAAAGAAGCTTTAATGAATATCCAGCTATCTGTATTTTGTAGTATTCTTGGAATCTGTAGTCTGAATGCCTAACAGTGGAATTACTGGATTATTTGTTATGTGCATTTTTGATTTGCAGAGAATGACACATTGTTTTTTAAATATTGCATCTTAATAGTACTTCCATTAACTAGTACTTACACATACTTTAAATTTATTACCTTTTCTTCATAATACAAGGCAGGTATTTTCATTTTATAGATGAGAACCTGTATAACACAGGTTATATAGTTTGTTCATATGCCACAAACTAGAAAATGGCAGGGCTGGGATTTGACTCAGAGCTCAAGTGGTATCCTGGCAGTATATAATCCTGCAGTGCATGGGATATTTATTTTGGTGACTCTTTAAATGTAGATATATGTGGTCCTTAGACCAGAGTTTTTGAATTGAAAACTCTGTGTTGGAGGTATGTTTAGCTATGCTTTAGAAAGGCTATGATATGCCAGCTGGGCTGAGAACCATAGGTTTTTAAATTAATGGGAATGTAAGCTCTGAAATGTGAGCATATTCGAAATCACTATTATTACCTGCGGGTTGTTACAATGCTTCTGACTGTGAAGTGTATATGAGTGGGTAGGCTTCAGTTCAGTAGGAATTGAAAGATAACATATATGTTCTTAAATCTCAAGGAAAAGCTCCCTAGATTGCTAAGACTTAATTATTTATGGGTCACTGGCCATCTTAGTTGAGATTTATCCTTTCAGTAAGGAACACCATAGACCCAGGTGCTTCTGACCTGCCAGCTAGCCCTGTCTTCCTGCCACCTAAGACAGGAGGAATCTTCTGTCAGAGCTGATCCTGACTTGGAAGTGAGAAGAGCAGGCTCAAGCCTGGCAGGATGGGGCTGGTAGTGCCACCATGCAAAGCCTGTGAGAGGTTTCTGCAAGAGGCGGCTGCTGAGTTAGTCCACGTTACCTGGGCTTTAGCCAGGGGAGGGTTGCAAGTGGGAGAGAGATCTGCATATTTTAATAGCTTGAAAATCCTTCCTTTTTTAGTTTTGTTCTTGATGATGTAACCTTTCATTCCTACTCTCAGAACTGATCTGTCGCATTGCCTTTTCTATTATTGTTGCCTCTAATTGCTTCTTTCTTGTGTTCCCCAGTATGATCAGTACAAGACCCCAATGGAGAACATTGGACTTCAGGACTCGCTGCTGTCTCGATTTGACTTGCTCTTCATCATGCTGGATCAGATGGATCCTGAGCAGGATCGAGAGATCTCAGACCATGTCCTCAGGATGCACCGTTACAGAGCACCTGGGGAGCAGGATGGCGACGGTGAGGCCATGAGAAGAATAGTGCCAAGGGAGGATCCTGAACTGATGTCATTGTCTGAGGTCCAACCCGGGGGATGGTGGTTCAGTGCAAATGCCTTCACTTCCCTGCTCTTTGGAGATTATTCTAAGAAGTATCATCTTTTTTGTGTTTTAGGATACCTTTGAGTATCTTCCATGGGCCATGCAGTTCCACTTTCTTTATCATTTCCATGAGGTTGTGTTCTTCTGGATCCTTGCTTTGTGGTTCTTGATCTCTTGCCTTTCTGTGCTGTGGAAGAAGTGATTTCCCTTAGGTTAATCTCCGTTCGTCTCTTTTTTCCTTGGGTTTACCAGCTATGCCCTTGGGTAGTGCTGTCGATATCCTGGCCACAGATGACCCTAACTTTAGCCAGGATGACCAACAGGACACTCAGATTTATGAGAAGCATGACAATCTTCTGCATGGGACCAAGAAGAAAAGGTGAGAATTCCTTTTATCTCTCCCTTAGGGGAGCTGAGATTTATGTCCTATTAAAACACATGAGGTTAGGGCATTGTATGCTCAGGCAAGGTCATGTATGCATGGAGTCATAAGCAGGAGAGCCTGTTTTCTGGGTCCACAGATACACCTTGCCAAGTTCTTTGTGGGTGATTCAGTCCATGATCAGGTGTTCTCCTAAGGTTTGATGACATTCGCATTGACGGTGTGGCATCTGCCTCATGTTATTGTGCATTTATGATTAAGGGCCAGTAAGTAGCAAGCACTGGAGTTTTTTAGCACTGGAGATTGTGCAAGTAGATTTGGTTGGAGATGACATGTGAGCTGATGCTCAAAGTATGAAATGTAGGATCATGTGTCCCTGTTTTTGGCTATGGTGCAACAGAGGCAAAGCTGCTGCTATTTGGTTTAATTGTATAGAATTTGGAGTCAGAAAACTGAACCAGAGTACTCATTAGCTTCCTTGAGTCATAGGTTTCCTATTTATAAAATAAGGCAGATAAAACTTACACTCTACCTGCTATCTAAACTAATTTAAAATTAACACCTAAATGTAAGTAATGTGAAAGAGCCTTTCTGGTCTATGTTCCATGTAAATGGTGTTTATGATGATGGGTTCTAGAGGCAGATGTCTCTGCTGTGCTGCTTGGTCTTGACTTCCCTGACAAGCAAAGCTGCTGTCCCAAGCAGGCAGTAAGGTGTGGCGGAGAAGTGGAACTCTTTGTGTGTGGGTCCAGGGAGAAGATGGTGAGTGCAGCATTCATGAAGAAGTACATCCATGTGGCCAAAATCATCAAGCCCGTCCTCACACAGGAGTCGGCTACCTACATTGCAGAAGAGTACTCACGCCTGCGCAGCCAGGACAGCATGAGCTTGGATACCGCCAGGGTGAGTGCCTAGGAGCAGCATGGCCCTGGCGGTCTCTTAGTTGCGAGGCTGGGGCAGGAATCTTTGCCATCTGGAGCTTTGGTAGCATGCAGTTTTGTTACTCCTTCCTGGTCTGAAGGACTTCTCCGTTGATACAGTTTTGATCATTTTGTTTTACAAAGGAAAATGAAGTAAGGATCCCAGAGTAATGTGCATAGCATTCAGCAAATACGAGTGACTTCTAGGAACTGTTCTAGGGTATACTTACATGCAGGTGAAAATAACAACAGCTATCCTTAAAGAGCTTAGATTCCTGTTGAGGGGAAAGGAGAAAGGTAGGTAGAAAAAATCACAAATACATATTTATAAATACATACACCAGTGTGATTCTTGTAAAGGAGTGAGGGAAGTGATTTGAGTGCCGATGAAGATGATAAGTGACTTTTCCTATCTAATTCCCTGGTTGCAAGAGTATGCATGTCAGGGAAGGATTCCTGGAGTGTGCAATATATGGTCTGGACTTTGATAAATAACCAGGAGTTAAGCATCATGGAGGTTACTCAAGGCAGTTTTTGCTAAGCCAATTTAAGTGCCCTTGAATTTATTTAAATCTTTTGGGGAGCATTGTAGTTCTTAAGTTCCTAGATTTAGACTTAATTCCAGGTGACTACCCAGCCTCACACCTGCTCTGTCTTCTGGTGTTCCTGCTAGGAACCCTGCAGGGATAGTGTGCTCAGAACACTGATGGCCTCTGGGAGTAAGCTCTTAATTCCAAGACTGGAACTTGTAATGCAGTATGTAACCTTCAAACTTTGGTATCGTTTGAAATCAGTGAAGGATCTGGGGAAGGTATTTAAAGGTCTTTTTTTTTTAAATGTTGGTGTGGATATAAGTGGAATTAAGAAAGCTTGCAAATAGAAAAGAGGATACATCACTGAAGTGTTATATAATGGGATGCTGGAAAGAATCTACCCTATGTTTGATCCCAGTCTGCAATTGACTTTTTTTTTTTTTTTTTTTTTTGCAATTGACTTTTGAACTTTGCTAATCCTCTCAATGCAGGTCAGTTTCCATACCCATCAAATTAGGTTAGGTGATATCAGGATTAACTAACTGAAATTTGTAAGATCCAACAAGTCCAGGCATAACTTTAGAGATTATGATTTACTAGGCCGAGGATCCCATTCAGACAATAAATAGCACTGTAAAAAGAAAAGCACTCTAGTTTGGGTGTACCTACCTCATGAGAAGCACTTTCATCCTGGACATCAGTGATTATGTCCAACTGTTAAAAATGTGCCCTCAAATTACCTCTCACTCCCCACCCCTTAGTGTTGATCTTGGACAAATTACATGAAGCTCTTTGATTTTCTTCATCTGTAAAAGTCCTCTAAGCTCCTAAGAGGTAAATTTTAGAGTGAATTAAAACACACTTCATGGTGCTTTGTACACCTGCAAGGAGTGACTAGTTTCACCCTGTCACTTCTGTAACTTGTTTAACCTTTTACCTTCCCAGCTGTTAGATGCCTAATTTTCTTACCCCTCATTCACCTGCTCCTCCCTCCCTCCGCACTCCCATACATTTCTTTGATCAGTTTTCTCTTTGAATTTTAAATGATACCCATAGAGAATAGGGAGCTCTTCTCCCTTGAGCTTTTCTGGTGGTGTCTTTATTCGCCTTCTGTGGAGAAGGAGTAGTAAAATTGGCCAAAGAATTCTGTATAAATTATCTTCTCCCGATCTTTCCTCAGACATCTCCAGTTACAGCACGAACCCTGGAAACTCTGATTCGACTGTCCACTGCCCATGCAAAGGCTCGCATGAGCAAGACTGTGGACCTGCAGGATGCAGAGGAAGCCGTGGAGCTGGTCCAGTATGCTTACTTCAAGAAGGTGAGGATTCAGATGCCTGGATGTAAGCGGCTCTTTTTAATAAGTCATAGGGTGCACTGACTTCCCTGCTCTCTGTGACTTGACATCTGCATTAGGATTTTCAGCAGAAAATAGCATCTGTGGGGCTGGGATATAGCTTACCTAGCACATTAGGGACCTGGAGTTCAGTCCTTCTCAATAAACCACGAACACTACAGAGTTGCATTTGTCTGCCAGTGTTCTGTTTGCCTCGCTGCTTCCTCAGAATACACAGTGATCCTCAGCCTTGGCTGCGTGCAGCTGAGCCTGAAGTCCAGACAGAAGGTGCTTCTCATGAGATGGGTGTGCACCAAACTAGGGTGCTTTTCTTTTTAAAACACTGTTGTCTGAATGGGATCCTCGGCTTAATAAATCGTAATCTCTATATTTATGAGTAAGCTTATATACTTTATTAAGTTTCAGTTAATCCTAATATGCCCTGATACTATTTACCTAAAACGTTGATGCCAGGACTCCTAGAGATTCTGATTCAATTGACGTGCCACACATTCAGCCAGCTGCTTCCTTTGCATCTTTAGCTAATTTGTGTTTCTAAAGCAATTACCTTGATAATCCTCTTCTCCGTGTTCCTTCCCTGTGCAGTCTCTTTGTGTTCCACTAGCACCTCAAACACTGGTGTCAAAATGTTGAACTGTCACAACTACTACCTGGTTTCTATTTGTAACATTGCCTGTGTCGTTTTATAGACCACAGATCTTGGTGCTTTGATTTCCTTTTCTTTGCTGCCCACCCCTTCCCACATCTGATGAATTATACCTCTTGGAGATTTAGTTGTGAGTGTGATACACTTTTTCTCTTTGTTAGCTTTGGAGTTATCTTAACATTCAGTTAAACACCTGATTGCTAAAGAAATGAATTGTTTCCACTTTAACATTGTGGTTTAGATACCTCTTTTTTTTTCCCACTTGGTAAATATTTATTGAGTACTGGGCTGTGTGCCAGGCCTCCTAGAATTTTTTTTAACATGTTCAGGATAGGGCTGTAATTCATCTCACTGTTGGGTACCAGTAGTACATGCATCACTGTCCCATTGGGCAGCTATTTATTAATTTTGTTAGCAAAAAGAACAATCAAAGTGTGTAGAATAGATCCATTTGTACCACCAGTGGTGCAAGCTGGGGGAATATATTAAAGATGCCCCTCACGCTATTGTGTTGCCCTTGATTCTGGAAGCTGGGGACCGGAGGTGGGGGTAGGTAAGTCATTAGAAATGTGGAAGTCATTTCTGCTAATAGTGTAAAGGGGCCTCTGATCCAGATTTCTTAATTCGGTTCCCTGTCACCAGTGACCTTTCCAGCACTCACACTTGCCTTGGTTTTAGGTTCTGGAGAAGGAGAAGAAACGTAAGAAGCGAAGTGAGGATGAATCTGAGACAGAGGATGATGAAGAGAAAAGCCAGGAGGAGCATGAGCAGAAGAGGAAAAGGTTAAGGTGGGGCAAGGCAATATTAGATAAAAAAGACTCCTGCTTGGGCTCGCAGAGGGGTGGAAGCTGGTTCCCGTGCTGCTTGTTGACGTCAGGTTCTTCGGGGACCTGCAGAGTTTGAGGATGAAGATAACCCAAGCAAAGGGAGGTGGGAATAAGCCCCTCTGTTGCATTTGGTGTGATGCTTTGGATCCCTTACCTGCTTTACAGATGTGCTTATAGCAGGAGCAGTAACCTACTCACTGCAGGTTTTGAGTAATATACTTCAAAATTCATGCAATTGTGTTTTTCCCTTGTGCCTGTGACTGAACTTATAAGGAAGGGTGATAGGGGGAAAAGAGCCAACGGTGTTGGCCTATTCATATTTATTCTAGTCTGGAGAAAGTCTTTGAGAAGAAGCAGCAGTTTGTGGATGGTTCTTGTCCTTTTCTGTGAGATCCAAGGTGCAGGGTAGAGCTACCGAAGGCCTTTAGCTGCTGTGTGGGTATTTTAGGAGGAAGACTCGTCAGTCAGATGCCAAGGATGGGGATCCCTATGACCCCTATGACTTCAGTGACACAGAGGAGGAAATGCCTCAAGGTAAGCAGGTATCCCCTGACTGATCAGAGAGGTTCTTTTGACTCTTGATTTTTAAAATTTGCTGTGTGCTCTGTATTTTCCTGTCTAGTTCCCTGCTTAGGACTTTGCGTCCAAGAGGCTTGTTCTAGGCGAGTTTCAGGGGAAACCCACAGTGAAAACAGACTTTGTTCATTGTTTGCCTCCTTTTGAATGAACTGTGATCTTCTGCTGAGCCTCAGTATGAGTACCTCTATGTTGAGGACCTCTCGCCTGACTCAGTTCCCTTATCATCCTATTGGGGATTTCTCTTTCTTAATTGTTCTACTGGCTCTCTAAGAACACTGGAAGCAGGAGTGTTAGTATGTTCAGTGATAGGTGGGGATTGCAGAAAGTGACTTTCCTGGTGTTACTGGAAATGGTTTGACCTTGCTGTCTCCCCCATTTCTGCAACCTTTAATCCACTGAAGTACATACCCCGAAGACTGCAGACTCACAGGAGACCTCGAAGACTGCAGAATCGCAGGAGACCCAGGAATCCCAGAAGGTGGAGCTTAGTGAGTCCCGGTGAGTAGGGGAAGTTGGTCTTGTACTTTGTGAATTCCTGCCTTGGTGAGGCCTAGCCCCAGGGAGAGGGTGCACAGCAAGCAGCTTCCCCGCCGCGCTCAAACTAAAGGCCCTGCAGAGTGGTGGTGACCCTTTGGCACACATGCTGCAGCACACTGCAGCCAGCTGTTTGTTATCATGGAAAGCTCTAAAAGATTCTGCATCACTATGCTAGGATTTTAAAACATTTTGCACTCTGATTATACTGTCAGATTTACAGGAAAGTTGCAAGGATAGTATAAGCAGACTTGAATAACCTTTTACCCAGAATTCCTGTTTTCTTTTGCATTTACCATATACTTTACTGCCTTCATGGGAATTTGAATTACCATGTTGTGGGATCAGGAAGAAGACTAAGCAAGGTCAAGATTTCTATCTTCCTATAACCTTGGATTCTTCTTGTAAAATACAGTTTTATTTTTTCCCATAAATCTGGTGTTTGTTTTGAGATAAAGAATTTTTGCTGAAGTTTCAGAAAAGTTTGTCTTTCTGTAAGGAGAATCTCCTTAGCCAAGGTTAACCTCATCTACCTTTTCTCCCGTTGTGGCAGGTTGAAAGCCTTCAAGGCAGCCCTCTTGAACGTGTTCCAGGAAGCTCATGCACAGTCAGTGGGTCTGACTCGCCTCACAGAATCCATCAATCAGGGCAAGGAAGAGCCCTTCTCTGCAGAGGAAATCCAAGCTGCACTGGACAAGATGCAGGATGACAACCAGGTCATGCTGTCTGAGGGCATCGTCTTCCTCATCTGAGGAGGTCTCATCTCTGAACTCCTGCCCCTCCCTCCACCCTTGGCTCTGCCTTCGTTCCCCAGATAGTGTGTAATTGAACTGAAGCTGAGGTGCACAAGGTGAAGATGGATCAGGACTTGCTGGCAGCTTTGGGAATGGATGATGATAGCTGTCATGGGGTGGAGAGCCAGAAGTGGGAAAGGACCAGAACTCTGCTTCTTCACAGCAGGAGAACTGGATCATACACCTGTTCTCCGTCCCCAAATAGATTCTGTGTTATTTTGTATAAACATAACTTTTGAGTGTGTTTGTGGGCACAGAGTTTCTGTTTATCCTTTCTGTGTTTGTTGACTGGTGAGTTTTTTTTGTTGTTGTGGTTGGTGTTTTTGCTCTTGAGCACTTTGGTCTGGAAAAGGCTTTGAGTTTTATGCTGGTAGACACTGAAACAGCCTGTGCAGGCCAAAAACCTTTCTTTGCAGACTAATATGTGCTTTTGATCTAAGTATTTGGGGCACTGAATAAACGGAACTGCTTTGTACATTGTGTGTTAATACTTTATGCTTTACACACACATTTGGTTTTGTTTTTCTGGAAAACAGCCTGTTGGATTTGCTGCTGTTGCATTTGCACCAAGACATCACAAGGTGGCAGCAGCCTGCTGTCATTTCTTTGATGGGGGTGGTTATGTGTATTTTTTGTCCTCAGGAGCAGCATGTATCTGTTAGCCCTGATTGAGTAAACCAGATCCTGCTGATTTGGAATAGCTAAAAGACCATGGGGAGGCTAGTGAGTGAAAGTCTAGGAGTAGAATTTCCTCCCTTTCTATATTATTTAATTAGGAGTATGGCAGGCCCTGTGAGGACAGCGCCTGTCTTAGGTCAAGGACCTCATTATATGAACCCAACCAGGCCTTACCCGTCATGGGCTTGCAGGACAGCAGTTGGTCCTGTGCCTGTCTTAGGTGGCCGATGGTGTAACATATATGTCCTAGTTGCCCGTCTCTGGCTGCCTGTCCATTGCCCCAGGGCTGTTAGGCCGCATTGTCATATGGGCCACTCATGGGAATTTCTTTCCCGGTAGGTTTGTTGATCTGCCATCTCCAGCTGGTGATAGTGTACCTGAATGGGCTTTGCCATGAACGCGTCTATCGGGTTATTAATGAGCATCATAATCCTCTGAAAAATACAAGGGCCCACAGAGAGGAGAAGCAACAGGGCAGCTAGGGGACCCAAAAGAGGCGCTAGGTAAGGGAAAAGCACCCCCCCCTCACATCGAGGAGAAGGGGTTAGCGGCCATTTGTTGTCGTCACTGTTGAAGTCGTTCTTCTATTTCTTGGAACTTGCCTTGCATAACACTGGACTGATTGACATAGAAGCAACATTTTTCCTGTAAGGCAAGACAGATTCCTCCCTGCTCTGCTGTGAGCAGGTCTAGCCCTCGTCTGTTGTCAGATGACCTCTGCCAGTGAGTCTAATTGGTTTTGGAGAGTTTTTACTGCAAAGGATAAGGCTTGAACATCTGCAGACAACTGGTTGGACAGGACAGTATATTTATCTAAGGTAATGGCGAGGCCAGCAGCACCCATAGCTACAGCACCAGTGAGGCCCATTCCCACCAAAAGCGGGATCAGTGTTGCCGCTCGTTTTTGGTGGCTAGCAATGTAATTAAATGTTGGCACCGGGACAGGTTGGTCACCTGAGACAATATGTCGGGCAGGAGGAAGCAGTTATGCATGTACCTGTCCAGTTGGCTGGAATATAGGTATAGGCCCTATTATTACTGCAGACAAAAATGTGTCCTGTTGGGGGGCACAGGGGGCCTGTATGATTGACAAATTGAACACAGGCGTTGGACAGGAGATGGCCCATATCTATAAGGGTAGAATCATTTTGGAGAGAGCCCTGTAGGCAGGTCATGGATATGTTGGGTGTTATTAATGGCTGGACTAGAAATGATTGAGAAGGTCTATAGGTAAAATTATGTGGATCACCAAAGGGGTCAATTGTTGAGTTGGAGGGGATGGCTAAGGGCAAAAGAGTGCCTAAGGCCATGCACAACCAACAGTCTTGCGCTAAAGCAGGGTTAATGAGGTTAAGTACATGATGAGTGGCTGAAAGGATATCATAAGTTTGTGGGTCTAAATCCATACCCCGTGATTTGGGGAGAGCTAACGGGTGATAATTGATCTTTGGGAATAGACTGTCTTCTATTTCTTTTAAAGTTCTCTCATTTTGTCTTGAGGACCTCCCCCATCTGAGACATGGTTTGGAGCCCTGTTATACCAACAGACCGGCTTGTTGATTTCGCCTTTGCAGGAGGCTTGGGAGTATACGGGGCTTCCTGATACAGAGGGGTTGAGGCCCCAAACGCCTCTGGCTGCTGCCATTTTTATTTTTGTAAGTATGGCTGTAAAATGAGTGGCATTATCTAAGCCAGTACATTCTTGTACAGCATCATAACAGGAGCTATGCATCTCTATCTGATATGATTTATACTCCTGTGGGCAAGGCCCTGCTTGGACAAACCTTGGTTCCCCAGGGGTTTGTCTGGAATTGGATGCCTGGGGCTAGCCCCATGTCCCGTTTCCCTGTGGGGGAAGAGGGTTACCGTGAACATCCCTTTTGGATCTGCAGTCATTAGCCCAGCGGTGGTCTTTGCATCTGGGACATAGCCCTGGTTTTTTTTGTAGAGGACTGATTTTGATTTTTACTTTTGCAATCATGAGCCATGTGGCCAATTTGGCCACATTTGAAACAAACAATATCTTTTTTAGGACGAAAGAGGAGCTGTTTAACTGTGCAACCTTGTTGTGCCGCAGCCATGGCTAGGCCTTGATGATAAGCAGGCCCAATATCTGCGCATAGGTGAATATAACCTGATAGGTCCTCCTTTTTGTGATGCGGTCGAATTGCAGCTTGACAAGCTGAGGTTGCATTTTCATAAGCCAATTTTTTGACCAGGGCAGAGTTTGTTTCTGTGGAGCCGAAAAGACGCTCTACCGCCTATAGGTGGCAATTGACAAAATCTGAAAAGAGCTCTTCAGTCTTTTGTTTTATTTGGGTGAGAGACAAGGTAGGCTCGCCTCCTGAGGGGAGCCGTTTCCACGCTCTAGTGGCTGCCATGTTAATCTGCGCAAAGAGGCCCGAATCGAACCGCATTTGGGTCTCTTTTGTGGCAAAATCTCCTGTTTCTGTAAGCATAGCAAGAGTCTAGGGGTTTTGCCATGTGGTGTTATCTCTGGCTATGCCCTCATATTGATCAAAAAATTCAGATTTCCATAATAGATAATTGCCTCCAGAGAGGGTGGCTTTTGCTGAGTCTTTCCACTCATTAGGAATAATCCAACCCTGAGTCAAAGAATGTAGAACTGCAATAGTATAGGTGGCAGTTGGGCCATATTGAGAGACTGCGGCCTTTAACTCTTTTAGGGCTGTCATGGTGAGAGGTATGTGTATCCTAACCACTTGTGGTTCAGTGCCCTCTTCAACATCCCGTGGGGGAACAATGGCCTCCGTGACTGGGAATGCCATTTTGGGCTGGCTGCCAGATGCAGGCGCCATTTTAAGAGTGCCACGAGGCTTGCCGGAGACAGGTGCCATCTTAGGAGAACTATAAGGCTGTGTAGCTCAGAGGGCCTGCAATTGAGTTGAAAGATTTTGGCATTCTTTTTCTAGCTGTATCTGTTTTAAAAGATCCCTTTTTCTTTGTTCTAATTCTGCTAGCATGCTAGAAGGTTGAGGGCAGACACTAAGTGCATCATCATAGTCAGGGGGCTTAATGGCGGCCAGTGCCGCAACAGGGTCAGGGTGGTATGTAGAGGCTTGCTGTGCTAGGTGTTCCCAGTCGACCTCTTGAAAATCGGAGAGATCGGGGTATAAAGACTTATATGAATCTCCAATTGGCCATGGAGGGGTGGGGGTTGGGGTCTGCCATCTTGGAACCTGTCAATCATGTCAACAGGAGGAAGTGGTGGCAGATCACCATCTTGGAGGACCTCTAACAAGCCATCAGCCTCTGCGTCTGAGAGATCAGAGGCTTCAGATTTTTCTGAGGACGGTTTTGGGGTAGAATTAAGGGAGTCACACAGGGCAGCCTCACCCTGTGCAACCGTCTCCTCAATCTGAGGATCTGCATGCCACTGAGTAAGCAGCTCAGAGATTAAATTCCAGTATGCAAAAGTGGTCACCGGAACCTTTTCCAGACAAAGACCCTATAATAATCTTTTAGAGCATCTCCTACTCTTTTCCACCTCTTGGTATCTATAGAGCCCTCTAGGGGGAACCAAGGGCACACTTTATGAATAAACTGAAAATACTGCAACAATTCTTTTGTTCTAACCCTTACCCCTCTTGTCTTTAATGTCTTGCTAAGGCCTCCCAGGAACAATTCATGTTCGCTCAATGCTTGACCCATGTCCGGGAAAGGGGATGGGGTTGCCGTTCACTCACTGTGACTCTGGCGGCACGTTGGGCGGTCATCCGCGCAGGCCTCGGCCTTGATTCAGTTTATTTTCACTTTCAGCAGGCATTCTCGAATGGCTCCCTCCTTAACTCCCCCGTGCCAAGAGCCCCCACGCTGGGCGCCACTTGATCTGGCCCACAGATCAATCCGTGGGGTGTACCTGGAGGAGGAACTGGGATGATAAAGAACATGGGGGGAGACAAAGAGAGATGGAGACAAGTTGAGGAGTCCAATCCCTCGGAGATGTGTTAAAGTTGTTTCTAGAGGCCAGGCAGCAGGCCACTCCTCCTTTCTGATAATGGTAACATCTGCGCCCGTATCAATGAGGCCTGAGAAACATTTTCCATCTAAATATAGAGTCATGAGGGGCTTTTCTGTGGAGATATGTTGGGCCCAATATACATCTGAAGTCCCAGGAAAGGAGTCCCCCTCTAGGGAGTTACGGATTTGTTAGACATTTGAGCCAATGGCAATAGCAGCAATTAAGCAAGGCGTTGCCCTGCCCTGACTGGGATGACACCAACAAGGGGAGAAGCCATGACTTTTATTTACCCTGTGAAATCACTATCTACTATCCCGGGCAGAACTTGTAATCCTTTAAGCGTAGTGCTACTACATCCAACAATAAGTCCAAAAGTCCCGGGGGGAGGGGTCCATAGATTCCTGAGGGGATGACCTGGACACCCATGTCAGGGGTTAATACTGCGTTGGAGGTGGAACAGAGGGCCAATCCTGCATTCCCTGGGGTTGCCCTGAAGAGGTCTGAAATGGCTTGCTTTGTGCTGGGGCAAACCTTGGACCCTCAGACACATTTTGTCACATAGGCTCATCTTGTCCATAAAGAGATCCCATTATAAGATAATTTAGAAGTTACCTAGTATGCTGCCTTTGGGATTTATTAGCCTGTTTGTACAGAAGTTTGTGGAAAGGCCAGAACAAGCCTTCTTTACTACTGTTGTATGGCTTGAACAGCTTCCAAAGAACTTTTAAAGTTACTTTAAAAATAAAATGGGTGACTTTCCAGAGGCCTGAGTCACATAGACTGGAGGCCATTTCCCCAGTGCCTGCTGTCAGCCG